ACACTTTTGTATTGGAAAATCTCGATAAGTTTAGTCTGAGTATACTGTATTTGAAGACTAAATTGATCCCCTATCTCCAGTTATATTACTGTTGTTAAAAAAAATATTATTTATTAGTGCCTTTCTTTCCATTATAGACAAATATTTCTTGCCCATTCAAATGATTCCATCTTATATTCTTGGTGTGCAAATACGTGAGCCCCCTGAGAAATTATAAAGCACAAAGCTATCGCCGCCATGTTGGATGAATGAAAAAAAAACTTATGAGGGATGCTTTGTGATTTTCATCCAACATGGCGGCAATGGCGTAACTTGCATGCCAAGAATCAAATGTATGTGACTGTTTTGTCATGATTTATTGGTTGGGATCAAGGAAGAATAAGAGATGATTAAGTCAACATTAATCAAAAGGCCTGATTTTTACGACAATTTAACCTTCTTTTAAAGTTTATGGGCTCTACGGTACTAAAAATATATATTGCAGTTCCTCAGCCTCCGTAGCAGACGTTCCAAGCGCTTCGAGAGAATCGAACTGCTTGGAACGTCGGCTACGGAGGCTAGCAGTTCCTGTGGTGAAATCTTGGTCAACTTTAGAGGCCTGGTGCCCAGCTGAGCTAAAGARTAGAGTTATGTCCAAAGTTTTTATCTAATGGAATGTGACACGTGACATCGAATTTTTTCGAGAACGCTCGAAGTCCCTTGGATGTTGAGTGACATACATAACTAGTCAAAGTTGTCCAAAGTGTTTATCTAATTTAAATTCCTTGAAATAGGGCATTGAGAGACGTAAGTTGACATCGTATGAATACGAAAGAAGAAATCAAGAAAATAACAATTATATAAAAATCTTTCTAAGAATATATTTCTTGGGGGATTTTAAGAGTTTAATTTGTGATAAACATTTGGATTCCTATTCATGATGGCTTCAGACGACACAAACGACCATATATGGAGATAAAGCTTTAAAAATTTAATCATTTTTTGTTTTCTTTTCCGACCAAGCTAGAGTGAGTGAAAAATTATGCTCATTTTAAGCCTCCCTCTTTATATTTTAAATTATTATTGAGAATGCTTTGTGTACTTTTTTTAGCAGCATTTGAAGCATTTGAAAAGTGATTTTTGAGGAATTTTAAGTAACTTTTATAGAGAAGTTCAAAATTGGTTAAATTATTAATTAGTTATAGCATTTTTAAATTTAACATTTTCAACTATACACAAAGCTAGATAATAATAAATAAAAGTTTCGTAAAGTTTACATTTCTAACAAAATATTCAAAACTTAGTGCTGAATTGAAATACTAACTATTAAAAYACTTCAGACGGCCAAAATTGCTCTACTCCTTGCAAAATATACCCAAACAAACTAATTTTAATCTTTAAAGCATTTTYAAGAAGTCCTCAAGATGAAAGAGAAAGAAGTTGACAGAAAAATAAACTTCACCTATTAATTCTCATTGTCATACAGAACGAGAACTTTAAGATTGGCATCGATTTTTAGAGTGTGACACAAAACCAGTATATACTTTTCAAGATGGATTTTTAGCTCACAACGATACTTGCAGCTCTAGTTTGCATGATATTATAGTACTTTTAGAAGCTTGRACTCATACCTTCACAAGAAAACAGTCCAAAACTGAAAATAATTGCGATGAACATAAACCTGCTCTCGACCATGATGAAGTCTGATTTGTGTTTCCCCTTCGYTCTCTGGTCAGCTAAAACTAAACAACTTTTGCAAGCTTTATTAATAATTCCTCTCTTAACAAAAGTTATTTGGAATTCCTTATCTCAGGGGACCTTCAATTGACCAATCACAGAATAACTTGAATCCCCTGTTTGCGTAAATTCGGACATTCCTAATTGACTCGTAAATGATAAAATAGATGCAATGGACTAGAATTTCTAGAGKGTTCTGAAATTGCGTATATTGGGTTTTGGCACTGCAATTCTTTCCTCATACATTCTTCATGATTGTGACCCAAAATAGYCACACATGTTTTGCAAGGTTAAGAAAATTTCGCATGTGAAATTTKCAATTAAATTCAATAAAATCTCTGCAGTCATTTTCAAAACAGAAAGTCTCATTAGTTTTTGGAACTTTTCATTCACAGCTTAATGTGTTTACGTAGCGAACAAAATAAGAGAGTTGAAAAAMATGTCCAAGTAAATAAGATTCATAAGACGCATGTAAATAAAAAGATTTTGCGCGATCGAACACAGRCTGACTTTATGATATTTGCGAGGATTGTATAAATGTCAAATGYTAAAATCCTTGTGATCAAAAAATCGTAATAAATATTATGAAGACAAGAAGAGTTGCTAGGTTGCACAGCGTCACTAGATGCAGGCATCAAATTCTAGACAAAAAGGATTGGTTTAAAAAATATTATGATAATTTTATGACGTCACATAAAAAAAAGACTTATTATTTGTTTTCGCTTTATTGTTYTGTGCAAAATATTTACTGGGTTGCTAAAACAATCTTTTGTAGGTTTGGGGGGTATATTTAAAACCGCTCATGATAAATCACAGATTTGACAGAGTTGATGATATCATCGTCTAATTTACTCTAAAAATTTTGAAACCTGTATAAGATTTCAAAAAAAAAATCGCTACCTAGGCGGCTACCTTTTTTAATTGAAAAAAGTTAAGTTTAAAGATATCTAACAATTGAAAGTTCATGCATTACATCACGTTGTTTTGAACCGAACTTTCAAGATTTTTTATTGACTATTCTCGAATACAGTGCAACGGGTAATRACACTTGAATCTACGTATAATTTGATTGCTTGTTTCAATATTATTTTAACTTGCGAGCGACATTTCTTGAAACTGTACTTGGAATTTGAAGAATATCTCAAAAATCAGCTGAACTTAAATTCTAAAATAAGCTTTTCACCAATAGTATTGACCAATTGATCTGACCAACAGTTTTTAAATGGCGAGTTACACATATAGGAAGAATTTCGCCTAGATTCTTCAATGAAGAATTCATATTTTCGGCAATTATTCGAGAGAAAAAAAATCAAACAAGAGTAGGAATAAATAATCTTTAAATAAAACTTATACCCCACTTAAAATCGTACTTTTTTCAATACCAAACCATGACTTAAACCTCTTGTGGTTCTAGATGCTGACGCAACTATTTTGACATTGCAACAGCCATATATTAAGTTAATTTATCATATAATTATTCATGAAACACCTATACCTCTCCATTTCGTAAAATTGATATTTTCACTAGTGAAAATAACATGTTATTTTCACTAGTGAAAATAACACATTCGAGGTTTCTCCCTATATTGAAAGTAAGAAAAAAAGGCATTTTACGACATAATTTGCTTCCATATGTAATTATATGATAAACAGAATATTACATGGTCGCTTGGAGATACGAATTTTATCTTCTCGTGTTGAAAATCTCTTCAACACTCAAAGATCTTTTCAACACTCGAAGATAAAATCCGTATCTCCGCACGCCCATGTAATATCCTCTATATATGTTCATGCAGTCCTTATGAAAGATATAGAGATTCCATTCTAGTGAGTTAATTCCAGCGTTCTTTAAGAGAAGGAGTAGAAAGAAAAGGAAACTGAAAAAGAAAGCTTTTATTGTGGAAGTTTGTAGTTTATAAAAAAAGATAACTTATGGGTCAGATATATGGAGAAAATTAAATGGTGTCAAAACCAATTTATTTATAATTGATCTCGAAAGGTCGAGAACATCAATACCGCAATATAGGTTTCTTTGCGATTTTGATCTTTTTATTGTTAAAAACCACTCTTTTAAGTAAATAAATTATTAATTATTATTAGGCATAATTTTTGTTTTCAATCTGATTTTTGAATCCTATTCAGAAGGGCTTTTTTTTTTTGGCAATCTGCGATTGTGATGACGTCATTTGATTGATGTTTGTTTGATTCCAAAGGGTTTTTNTTTTACATAATGCATGATCATAAAAATGATACATGGATGAATAATAAAATGATAAATACAACATGTTGGGGGACGGGGGGGGGGGGGGGGGGCTATCTTGAAAAATGTCAGGCTGTAGGACCTGTATACATAGGCTTTACCTTCAGTTTTTTTTTAATCCATTTACATATTTTATTTATAAGGACTGTAAGGGTCAATTGAAAGCTTTCTGTCAAGCAGCCTTATCCATTTTTCAAGGGAGTCCCCTCCACTTCTAACTGGATGGAGTGGCGTGTTTGTGTCGTGATTGTAGTTGTGTTAGGGTCATGAGTTTTGTCCTGCTCAGTGTTTGCAATTTTTAAAATTAGCCAGCTACCTTTGACCTCTTTGACACTGGACTGATGTCCAGAATTCTCAATAAATTTTATAAATTGTCTACTAGACAGTAGTAATTGAATGACACTGTTAGCATAACATGTGTTGCCTAGATTCACAAGACCACCACATATATCCATGTTTSAAGTGACCAGGAAATTTTCTTACAGAAATTCCAAATTTGGCGGGTTAAAATGTGAACTAGCGCCAGTCTCCTTTAGCGAGTTATTTTGATCACGTTCAGAACACGTGAACACACGTCTCAGATACTGACATGATAGGTCCATATATAATAATACTTTTATTGATTGCTTATAAAAGCACATACTTTACATACATGAAGCATTAATAAAACACAGTATGACCACATGGGCTAACATCTCATACGTCGGATCTGTACAACTATTTATAGTATATAATCTTAAACCTTTTCCTTTCGTGAGAAGCTTGACTTGACATTTTCACAATAGATCACTTCAGCAAAATAATGAAATTTTCTTCCTTGACGTTCACTACAACTTATATCAATACGACTATAATAAAATACCACTTTTAGAGTGAATGCCTGCTTTCCGACACTTTTCCGAAGGCTTGTCGGCAATTGCGAAACATTCGTACTTTGTTCGCAAATCATTCGCATATTTATCGCCACATGCCTTGTCACGTGTACTCGTTCCCAGGTCTTCCTCAAGCAAAAAACATGTCGGAGCCATTCCGGTTATTAGCCGCAAGTACTTTGTAACTCATCCGCCATTTTGTTTAGGTTAAATTTACTGCAGCTTTGGTAAACCGCTGACATTTTGCGAGCCCGCGCTTCCGGGAGGAATTTGCATAGCAACCGACCATCGTGAAAAGCAGGCAACTTTCTATTTTTCTGCGGCAATTGCAGCTTCCCCACATACGAATGTCTTGGTCTTTATACTGATTATATATTAACCTATGGGTAATACATTTAAAAAAAAATGTGAATAAACTCTGTTTTGAAACAAAATAAGTTTCTTTTGTATTAAAAGATCTTGTCCAAGCATAAGCACTCAAAAAAATAGCCAAAAATGCTTCTCATTTGCTATGTTCCCCACATAGAATTTCTATTTTAATAACAATAAAAATATAAGTATAGTTTACAACATGAGCGGCCGTGTTGTATGGGAATTACAATCTCGAGCCGCAGGCGAGAGATTGTAATTCCCATACAACACGGACGCGAATGTTGTAAACGACTTATAAAACTCCAACACAAATTAACATGAATTACAGTGAGATAAATAACGAAAAATGACAAATAAGGTAACTGCTGAGTTTAGTCTCTATTAAGCATGCGCAATTTACTGCAACACAGAACATTTTGAATAATTATCCATCCCACATGGAAAGCAAGCCATCTGTTGCATAAGCCAGTTCTGTTATCCGTCTTTGATTGCTTCAAAACCTAGTGAAGGTCTATGATGCGACACTAAAACTGAGACCTTTGCTAGTGTTGGGTTGTCTCAAGGTGACGACCGTGTTGTAAATCTTATACAACACTAGTGTTGTATCACAGTGTTGTATCTGATTTACAAGTTCAATCACCTGATGAAATGGACAACCCTTATTGGAGTAATAGCTCATGCATTATTAATAAGTTTTATAATAATATATATATGTATATATATTAAAATATTAAAGCTAAGGAAAGCTTTTATGAAGTCGGAATCAGATATTAAATAAAATATTTAAAAATGCGCTTACTTTTGAAATTATATCAAATTTTAATGTTTTAACCAATGAGATGGATGGATTATACATTGAAAATTAGCACCTTCATGAATTCCATTGCCGTTTGCTTGTCTGCTTACTTCTTACTCGGACCATTACTTAATCAGTCAATCTCGTACCCAGAGCCCGCACTTTTGCCATCCAGCGGAAGTCAATGCGTGAGAGATTCTTGGGGAATTATTTCTCGATTCGTGATTGGTTGAAAATGACGTGAGCGTCCATTGTTTTCAAGTCTAGTCACCGGTAGCCCAAAATGCAAGCTCTTTACTTGATATAAGAGAGAATGTATGTGAGTCTATGTAAACAGTCGATTTATAGCATAAAGATACATTAAATTTCGCTTTAACTTGCTGTGTGGATTATTATAGTTACCCGAACTTTTATGTATAGTTTAAAACACGAGGAGATAGTGTTTTATCAGTATAAAGATTCGAGCTGAAGGCGAGAATCTTTATACCTGATAAAACACGATCTCGAGTGTTTTAAACGGCTTCAAAAACTCCTACACTAATTTGAAACTCAATTCTGTTAAAATTCTTGGAGAAATTGCCGTACAAATATGTTCTGAGATAAATAGGGCAAACTGATCATGCGCGAATCACTTTATAAAGCACTCTTGTCATCCCACATTGAATGCGCATTAAGTAAAATAGAATCGCTCTTGGCTGTTGACTGAAATCGATGGTGGTCAATGATCAGGTTTCAAACCTGAGTCCTTTGCTAGGGTCATGGACCTTTATATCTGATAAAGGTCACCTTTATTAGTATTCTTTATAAAACTTATTAATAATGCATAAGCTATTGCTCCAATAAGGGCTGACCATTTAATCAGGTGATTGACCTTGTAAATCTGATACAACCACTAGTGGTTGTATCAGATTTACAACACGGTCGTCACCATTGAGACAACCCAACACTAGCAAAGGTCTCAGTTTTAGTGTCGCATCATAGACCTTCACTAGGTTTTGAAGCAATCAAAGACGGATAACAGAACTCGTTTATGCAACAGATGGCTTGCTTTCCATGTGGGATGGATAATTATTCAAAATGTTCTGTGTTGCAGTAAATTGCGCATGCTTAATAGGGACTAAACTCAGCAGTTACCTTATTTGTCATTTTTCGTCATTTATCTCACTGTAATTCATGTTAATTTGTGTTGGAGTTTTATAAGTCGTTTACAACATTCGCGTCCGTGTTGTATGGGAATTACAATCTCTCGCCTGCGGCTCGAGATTGTAATTCCCATACAACACGGCCGCTCATGTTGTAAACTATACTTATATAAAGAATACTATTAAGGAGTGTTTTATCAGATATAAAGGTACATGTATGTACATCTATTAGCCTAATAACTCATTAATAATTTATAAGTTTTTTAAGAACTATTTTCCACTCTTACTCTAATCTGTCACAGGGTAGGAATCGAGGCTCTCCACATCCACTTCAAACAGCTCTAATTTGGTCGGGTTTTTTTTTGTCGAAATTCGGCTCCTGACGCAATTTGCCTTTGCACAGCTGTCAATTAATAACTTAACACTACAGAAATGCTGGTTTCATCGAGCTAGTTGGTTTTCCTGAGCCATGAGCTCTCCTGAGACGAGTAAAATCCGTGGCAAAAACCGCTTATAGCCGTGGACGAGAAATGTTTGTACAGAATGTACAATAGATCTACCGTACCGGGAGGTACCGTGAGGAAAAACAAAGACTGGAGTAAATGCAAAAGATCCACCGTACAGGGAGGTCATGTCTACGAAATTGCTCCAGTAACATTGTTTATGAAAATAATTAGTGTACAAAATGTTGAATAGTTAGACAACTAATAAATATAAATATAACATATAAATGATATAAATGTAATTATAAATATAAGCTTTTACCTGCTCTAATGGGCTTTGATCACAGGCTTACCAGACTATTGCGAAGGGACGGGTAGACCTTCTATGGCGAACAATCGGGAGAAAGCCGTTGAAAACACTTCGTATATGGGTAGAAAAACACATCGCAAGGCAAAAATGACCACAAATATGCACTCAGAAAATACTAAAGTATACTTTCTAAGCACAAAAAACTATTAAATAAACCGCAAAAACAACGAAACATCGATGTTAAAAATGACTTGATTTTGAAGAGATTTAAACTGCTTTCGACCGATAATCGAAATAAGAAGCTGGAGCCAACCTATTCAAAATGTGTACGGTTTGGTTTATGAAATCTTCATCTCTTTCGACTATTACCTCATTCTAGCCTCCCTCCCCCTCTCTTTTGTTTTCTTTTTCCCTCTTTTTCTTCAGTTTGTAATAGCCTTCTGAAGTGCATTCCATTTTTAACTTTAGCTACAATGGCATGAAAATGTTCAATTTCGAGTTTCATATTCAATATTTGCTTTGATACGTGACGGCGCCGCGTTTCGTTTTAAAAATGATTAAGACAACAGTTATCCCTAAGGACAAACATTAACGTATACCTTTGGATTTTTATTTTGCCCTTGAGAGTTATTGAMTAGTCATACACATAGTATATACTCTCATCAGACAACAAAAGTCGGTCAGACACTCCTACGAGATCCATATTTATCATATAATTATCTATRAAATACCTCAGTATATTTCTGCATTTCGTAAGGTTCTTATTTTCACTAGTTAAAAAAAAATCTTATTTTATCTTATCTTAGAAAATCTAGTCTTATGTTCACTAGTGAAAATAACCTGTTACAATGAACACAATCGAGGTTTCTATATATAGTGGAAGTAAGATCTAGAAAAAATGTATTTTCTGACATAATATGCTTTCATGTTTAATCACACGATAAACAAAATATTACATGATCGCTTGGAGATACGAATTTTGTCTTCTCGCTCACTCGTAACGAGATCTTTTCAACACTCGAAGATAAAATCCGTATCCTTGCGCGCCCATGCAATATCCTCTATACATATCATACTATTGTAAACGTTAAAGCGGGCTCAGCAAGCATCACGCATCCATTTTCGAGACCGGTTTTATACGACTCATAAACAATCTCATGCTTTATTAGCAAAGAAGTACTCTCATATAGAAACGTCCCGTAATTCTTTTTACCAGTATACTGTTATCAAAATATCTTATGTCAAAAGGTCAGTCTTCAGGTATTCTTCACTGGTCACAATTGGTTTATTATGCAGATATTCAAGTACAGAGACGTCACAACTAATATCCGACAAAGAAGTCAGTTTTCACTTTCAAACCGAGTGGTTATTAAAGCGAAGCAGCGTCTGCTGAGCTTACTGGCGTTTTTTTTGTATTGGAAATTTGGTTGATCTATATATCGAAGAGCTTTATATAGCCAAGAGAGTTATAATTGTTTAGAACAAGGAAGTAAACGATACTGCAGCGAATTAAGTTGCTTAAAGTCAGCGTTTACGTCGAATTAAGTGCTCCATTTTTGATCGAAAACCAATATTGAACTCTACATAACATGGAGGTAGTTCAGTTTTATACTTTTGCATTGAAGATCTTTTTTGTTTTTGCTGTAACCTGTGGAATACATGGAAGCTACGGTAAGTATTTTTGATTAGTGATTGATTTTCAGACTGATCTCTCATAAAGAAATGAGGATGTTAATTTAGCCATGACAGACATCACAACATCATATTTAGTCAGTATATATCCCTGTTTAAAAATAATTTAACYACTAAAAAAACAGAGTATTTCATGAAATAGACTTATTCGGCTTAGCAGAACGCAAATATATCACATAGAATATACAAGAGATTTGTTTAAAAATTGTTTTGTTCATAGCAACAGAACAATCTGAGCACTCTGTGTACGACACGGAAATAACTACCTTATTTTGAAATAAAATGACTTAACAAAATATATGAT